TTGGTCCAACCTCTTGATATAGGTGTCTGTGGATCAGTGGAGAGAGTATGGGAGAAAATTCTTATTAAATTTGCCAGGCAGAACATAGGTACAGCCTTATCCAAAAAGCTATTTCCTATTCTTCTGGAGAGGTTATGGGAAAGTGGTTGTCGAAGCAAAGTAAATACTGAATCAGAATTTAGCAAATGTGGCCCATACCGTTTGACCCTTCCAAAATTCCATCCTCTGTGCATGAACCTGCAACATAGGTGAACAGCGTTCAAGTCACAGAGCACGACGCCAGCCGTAAAAGTGTGGATATACCGCAAGACGACAATGAATTGAATCAAGCAGCCGTTTCAGTTCTGTCAACAGATTCTGCCATGACGACAGCATCCGCTTTATTTCAACTTTCCACATCCAGAAAAGAATCTCATGCTGAGAAGCACAGCGATCAAAGAATCTCTATTAGACACTTTTCCTCAGCAGGCTGTCACCATTCCTGAAACCAAACACATCTGAAACTCAGAGAATGTCAAGTAAAAGACATTATGGGAAAAGTCTGACTACTCAGGAACGTGTGGAGCTAATGGAGCAGCAATAAGCAGCAAAGGCAAAAAACAGCAGAAGACCACGGAGAAGTTTGCATAAAAATAAAACAGATCGTAAGCATCCAAGTGATTTGGACCAAAGGAAACTATCCAGTTCACATGGTCAGATACCATGGACCAACGGCTTCTTGATGTTTTTTTGCAAAGGCAGCAACAATCACACGGTCACAGAGACATCGTTTAAATGAAGTGCATGTGCTTAATAAGACTACAATGTTTTAGATAAAGATAAACAATCTTGTTTGTATGCTCAGCTTAGAGATGATTCCACGTAGCAGCAGAAGAGTGCTTTAGAATCTTGCAATGATATTGACTTTTCCATGTCGTCAGAGCAGTGAGGACATAAGTTGCGATATTTCAACATTTCGATTGTTCTCATCAGCCGCAAACACAATACAAGCGGGATTCATAGACAGTTATATACGGGGGAGGGGGGAAATTGGCACACCAACCAAAACGTCAAAATCAGGACCACGGTAACCTAATTGATTGTCTCAATAGCTTCTGTGCACACAACATAGGTCGATAAGCTCTAATTGGCAAAGCCTCACTAATTGCCCTAATTAGCAGATTGTTGTGGTGTAATAACTCCTTGAACGCAGTCTCCGGGTTCACCTGATATCGGGTTGCCAGGAGATGCTTGATGATAGATGATGCTGGGCTCCGGTTCATTGTCGGGTCTACTCCGTTTTGTTGCGTCACCAGTTGTTCCAACCACCTCGGAACATGTTCAGCTACCTCGTGAGCTAACTGATGGTCAGTCCTGCCTATGTAAATGTTACCGCAACCGCAGGTGAACTGGTAAACGACGTAAAAGGCCGAACTGACTGGTGAGTTGCTCTGAAGTCATGAAGAAAAAGGCTTCGCGTTGTATGTATGAGTCGCAACTGGGCGGTCACGTAGGTGCGAGTAAGGGCGGACCGGAGTTTACGTTCGATATCATTTGATACATGGTCTCCTTTGAACGGCAAGAACAAATAAACATTCCTTTTCTCTGCGGTTAACACTGGTATTTTCTCCTTGGGAGACCTGCTGTGGGTCTGCATGAACTTCTCAGGATACCCATTTGACACCAAGGTTTTTAACAATAACTAGTCTTCAGCTTGCAACATTTCGGGGCTGCATATCCGTCTGGCTCTGTAGAAGAGCGTTTTCACTAGACCACGTTTGTATGCGACCGGGGGCAAAGCTGGAAGAGTGGAGGTACTGCCCTCTCCAAGTTACCTTGCGATGAACCGTGCGCTGTAGTGTACCATCGGTCCGTCTCCTAATGAGTATATCCAAAAGTGGCAGACTATCATGTTGCTCCAACTCATGGGACATCGATAGATTTGGATTGATTGAATTCAGAACTGTCAAAAGCCGCGCAAAATGTTCGTTGCTGGTGAAGACTAAGATGTCGTCCACATACCGCTTGTACAACGTAGCTTCACCAATACTGGCAGTAACTTGTCTTTCTATCGAGCCTAGAAAGATGTCTGTTAATACTGATCCTAGGGGGCTACCCATGGCGACGCTTTCGATCTGTTTATAAGCAGTACCCTCAAACTGGAACCGTATATTTTCCGTACATAATAGGATCATATCTATCAACTACTCCAGAGGCAGGCCAACAGACATGTTTTGACTCGCGATGAAATCACACAAATTTTCAACCGCCTCACATAGAGGCACGTTTGTGAATAGGGAGTCGACGTCTATTGAGTACCTTTGATCCGCACCCAGCGACACGTGTTCCAGTGTCTCGACTAATTCAAAGGAGTCCTTTAGGCAATACGGGGCCAGGAGTTTGCGCACCGGCTCCAACGTTTTCGCTAGCCACTGCGCAACGTTGTGACACGGTGAGTTGTTCATACACGTAATCGGGCGCAGTGGGTTACCTGCCTTGTGTAATTTGGGAGCGACCCTCATTCTGGGTGTCTGAGTTCCAGTCGGTTTCAACCGCCTATATTGCGAGGCATTGATGTAACCATGCAGTAAGTGAAGCTGCAGTTTCCTTGCACTTGCTTCTCGACCAAAATGTTGTTTTCTTGTGTCTTGTTTAACTGGAACTTCCGTCTGTCCCCCAGAATAGATTCCATCTTTGCAATGTAGTCAGGCCGATTCATTATCACAACGCCTGACCCCTTATCCGGCTGCAAAAGCATTATGTGTCCCACTTGTTTTAACTCTTTGATCGCCATATATAGTGTTCGGCTTTCAGATAGCATCTCTGGCTTATCGGCGTGTTCAAGGGTTGCTTCGCAATATCTCCCAATTTTGCCCGGAACCAATCCACATCTTCCATTGATCTTGGCGTGTGGTCACTGAGCTGTTCATTCAGATACTCAAACTGAGCATGAGTGCTGAGATTATCTATTGCTTTGGGCGTCAATCGGTATTTTAGTCCAAGTGAGAGAACTTCCAATTGTGTGCACGTGAACTATACAGATGACAGATTGTATACGTGCTTTAAGCACTCAGTAGAGAAAGCAGCATTTGGCGCTTTTGCAAGGAAACCCTGCAGACTGCGGACTGTTTTCGTTCTCATGCGACGGATAATGTCAGCGGAAAATGCCTCGAACTTCAACCGACAAACCAACGACAACATTTTGAGCATGCATACGAACTGACTCTGCGTCTCGAGGAACTTGCCTTCTCGTTCAAGACAGGCGTCGATGTGCGCCGACGCTATCCTTGACAGATTGGCGTTGTTAGTGTGGCTTTGCTAATTAGGGCTTATCAACCTGTGTTGTGTGCACAGAAGCTACTGAGACAATCAATTAGGTTACCGTGGTCCTGATTTTGACATTTTGATTGGTGTGCCAATTTTTCCCCCTGTATATAACTATGAATCCCGCTTGTATTGTGTTGGCGGATGATGAGAACAATCGAAATGTTTACATATATCAACTTATGTCTTCTCACTGCTTTGCCGAAATGGCTGAAGGAGACCCGCTGTTTTACCTTTTTCCTATCGGATAGTGCTGAGGAGTGCTTACCCCCAAAGTTCTCTAGTCACAACATATTTGAGAAATTCAGTTTCTGCGAGACATAACATCAAGTGCCTGCCATATGTGCGGTTGTGTTGTTTGAAAGTCCCAGCCGTATCAAAAAGGAATGGAATTGCCCATTTTCCTATTTTAGCAAAATAGCAATAAAATGCAGATATCTTGGTTAAACTTGTTTTCAGCGCTTAAATGATAAACTCCAGGTTCGGTCCGAATCCTTTGTCTTATACCAGTTCACCTGCACCTGTGGGGCTAGGTATCTTGTACATACGACCAGGTATTTGTCCAAAGTAATCGCTGAACATTGTCCTGCGTCATTACGAAAAGGCACGGTAAAATCCATCAGCAGTTCCGTTTTACCACACCGGACTGTTTTACGACACTGGACATGAAGTTCAGATGAACCAGTCGTTTCAAGTCGTTTATACTATCCCTAAACGCTACCCAAAACAGCTTAAGAAACATCTGTTGAGCATTTCTGAAGCCATTGCAGTCAAGCTTCTAAAACCAGAGCTGTGCAAACAGCGCACACTGCTACAGGCTCTGAAATTGCCTTGGCCTTGAACTTGACATATGACCTGCCTTGATCACCTGCTTCCTAATGCGACAGTCTAATTGATCAAACTCTTCATGTAGTTTTCATACCGCCCAGTTACTGAGTTGGTTGCTATCTGTACAAGCCTCTACGGGCTTTATTCTCGCCAAAATTGTGCTTCACAATTGTACACGCCCGATTAGAATTATCGAAAAGAATATTCTTCACGCATTTGCTTACTTCTGACGCAAATGAGGATAATTTATGAACTGAAAGTTCTTTCGGTAACGTTAAATTTAACCCATTGCTGTCCATATAATAGGTGGGATTATGAATATTGTTAATTATTGGCTTTTTGTAAATATTTCGCAAAGTAGGGTGCGGGATCACCCTGACTTCCTGTACAACCGAAGAGTGAAATCAACAACCACTAGACTGGGCCTGTTAGACCTAGTTTCTGCTAGACTGGAATCCATGCCGCTCACGGGGTGCTCGGCTGAAGATATCAAAGGACATAACACGCATCTGACATTACTGTGTCGTTGTTTATTCCTGGCCGAACTGTTCATTTAGGTTGTGTCCGATGCTGTTATTTGCGCTGCAGATCGACGAGGAGGTGGCACCATGGGAATCACAAAGAAGTTCTATTGGATCCCATCCTGTTACCACGTGATAAGCCCTTTCTATAACCGTACATTGTTGGCAATGTGTGGATGCTTTGATCCTGAATGTCATTCTACTGCTTTGGTTTGGTATCTGATCCTGTTTTTCCCCATTCGGATATCGTATTTTAGTGTGATTGCGATCGTGTGATATCGAACCGATAGTGGAAGATTAATTTCCCAAATCTGCCTGAATAACTGTGAACATCTTTCTCATATACAGAGAGAAGAGTTCTGGCAAAACAATTCCGATCAAAATATCCAGGAACTCAGATACAGACTTGAAATATTGAAGACCAGCAAGGCCAGAGATTTAGCCCAAATGTGTGAATTGAAAACTCAGGTGAGGAACGAAAAACGAAGTGCCAAGATTATTTGTCTGCGAGTCGATCAAATTTCCATGTAGCCAAAGCTCAGTAATCCTATACAACTGCAATGTAGAAACATTTCCAGGTTAGCCTAATATTTCGCACCGCATTCTTAACTGTAAGCCGCAACACCGACCAAGATGAACTTGTAATGAAGCAACGGCTTATTACGAGCATAAAAGCGGATGCTTCACATATCCCGTAATATGGTTAGGGGGAAAACCACAAAATTTAGAAAAACCATGTCTGTACAAGTATGTATGAGATACATGACTCATCAAGGGACTTGGAGTAGCACATGTGCGAGTATTCCTGCCTGAATTATAGTGGGCTTATAATGCCGTCCACTTTTTGCAGTGCACTTATGTCATCATCTGATGCACACGGGCTATATCATATAGTGTAAATGCGTCAGACTATCGTCAAGGCTTTTTTGTTAAGGGGTAGTATGGGGTCATTAATTACATGTGCCGGGAGGCCGTCCCAAGGTTGTGACACTCGGAGGGAGAAAAAGTTTTGTCGACATTCCAGTCCATTGTACTGCGTGACTGACTGACTGAGTTTCCAAGGAGAATGGCATGTGTGGTTGGGGTTTCTCAGGATACCTTCTGCGATCGCCCCTTAGATGCCGATAACGTCCGCAATCTATTTTGTGAGTTTTCAGCCTGAGTCGTTAGGGAAGGCGCGACAAACCTCTGCCGCTGTTTGTCTCCCTGCGTTGTGCAGTATCGAGCGCTGTGAAGTGGTGCTGCTGCCAGGGGTGCCACGCTTGAATAGCGTATTCCGCGTGCGGCCTCACGTACCTGCCAAGCATTTTCGGCAAGATTGAGGCGTACAACTTCCCAAATGCTTCACGAAGAAGGCCGAAGTGTTGGTTTGCTTTCTTTGAGGCCTTTTCAGTCTTCCTCAAACACCAAAAATCCTCTTGCACAAGCACACCAACATCGCACTCATGAGAATCCCGCTGTAGCATTTGTGACCCTAAGCGGTAGTTGTGAGTACTCTACTGGCGTATGCTCAGCATTTTGCACTTCGTGGTGTTTAAATGCAGTGTGTTCTCGATGGACTATGTACACGCTTTGTCTAGGTCATCCTGTACGACTGTATGATCCTCCACTGAAGTGATAGCACGTCATAGCTTTAGATCATCAAGAAAATGGCAGACAGTTTAAAGGCAACACATTTGCAACGTCCTCTGTGAAAACCAGGAACAGGTGTGGCCCCTGTACCAAGCCCTGAGGTACGCCGCACTGAACTTCCATTGGTTCTGACAGGGTGCTGCGAATGCTTACATTCAGGTGACGTTAAATGATAAAGTCGCCTATCCATCTCAGAACAGGATCGCTGATACCATAATTCCGGAGTTTGTGCAGTAGAATGCGATGGTCCTGGCGGTCTAATGCGTTAGAGAATTTCAGGTAGGCTGCATCCACTCCTACACCAGCGTCCATAGATTCCGCCCAGCTTGCACGAGCTATCGACAGGACCGATTTTGGCGAACTTCGTTCTGCTCCGGAACGAGAATTTTGTTACTCTCCAGGTACCTCATGAGCATCTCAGCTATAATGGACTCCATGATCTTGAAGATCACTAGAAGAAGTGTTATTGGGCGATTGTTTGCTAGTTATGCACGTTTACCACGTTTGTACATTGAAGTGACGATCGCGTGCTTCCACATCGTGAGGACGTGCATCTCGTTAAAACATCGCTGAAAGACCAATGCTAACGGTTCGGCTAAACTCATGGCAGCAGCTTGCAACGCCTTCGGGCGAATGCCGTCCTCACCCGGGGAGCTGTATGCGAGCAAAGATATCAGCCGTTTCAGTGCAGCTGCGATTGCAAATGATATGGGGTTAAGGCCTGTTGGCGGCATAAGCTGCGTAGGCATAGTGTAGGATAGTTGCGCAGTTTAGATAGTACGGACAAATTGTTGTCGAAGTACCTTGGCCGGCTCTTGTGCCGTTTGTGCTAACACGCATGCTGTGCGCAGAGCATGAATTCCGCGCTTACCGCGGCGATTTTTGTTCATTTGTCTGTATAGGAGCTTTGGGTCTTGTTGGTTCCCCAGCGAATGTAAAGGACTGTTTATTCATCTGAATGCAGATTGAAAGTCCTGCATAATACCATCTGGGTAACTCCAGGGAAACAGAGTGTGAAAAAGTCGAGACGAATCGTTCAGACCACATAGGATAAGACTACTGTCCAGGGAAAGAGTGGTAATCCTTCTGGTACGGAAGTTGATATTGTCGACAAAAATGGCTCCATTCGTTGCAAATGAAAGATGCACCAAGTAAGAGTGCAAATGGTAAGTCTTCACCCTCCGATTACATGCAAAACCTCTGTTTGATGACAACGTAGTAAAAAGGGGCTAACCCAATTGTTCAGGCTTCAAGCAGTTAAAGCGGCTGTGTCCAAGATGGGCATTTGGTACTCCTGCTGGTATGTAAGTTGTACAAATGGCAGTAGTATCTGCTATTCACAGATAGGTGAAGGTGCTTCGGAAGGGTACGACTTCGGGTTGCTGGCAAATGTTGTTGCTGCATCAACCGGTAACAGAGGATGATCCTTCGTTGTGCCAGCACGGCACCTCTTTAATTTCATTGGAAAGGCAAACTGCGAACAAAAGAAAAACAAACAGACGTAGGTCGAATATACACTTAAGCAAACGGAGTGGTCATACTTATACCATTATCGAAGTCGCTATATTTTATTTGAGATTTGTTACTACCAATATGAGGTACCTGTGTTCTTACAAGAGCTTCATGTCGTGAACATTCCTTGCATGATCTAGGTTACTGGAGCTGCTAGACGTATGGTTAATAGACAGCTACTCTAACACTTCAAAAAGCAAGTTCGAACTCTTGCAATGTATTTGGAACCGATCAAGTAGTCATCGTTCCAGAGATTTGTGAGCTATCTTTTGGTTTATCTACTTGGCAACGTTTCGCTTTTGACACAAAAGCTTCGTCAGGCTAGATGAATTGGTGGACAGTTGGTGGCGGCCCGACGCAAATACGATGTTAACTCGCTTTAGACGCCACAAGGTAGGCGAATACAATCGTTTCAGGAATGTTTCATCTCTCCTACCAATTCAAATTGCAAGCCCTTCACTTGTACATCGGTAAATATCGGCGCATGCGACATGTCATTATAGTGTACCAAATGGTACCGAACCCCAATCACATCTATCGTCATCTGTTGCACCTCAGGCAGAATACTGACCTGAGAGGTCACCAGCTCACACTGGTCGTGTACTAGAGTGGACATGATTGCCGGCAGTCGGTTTCTCCCTTTGGATATCCCGAACGTAGAACGTTCTTCTTGTCCCCGCACTAACATTTTTCAAGACAACTTAAAGTCACTATCCCATTTAAAATACGTGATATAGTACGTTTCAAGCAGAAGACCAAATAACGCACAGTGTGCTCACCAACAATCTCCGAAACGTAGTGGTGAGGAGACTAGCATATGTTTATATGGATAGCTTGGTAAGTCATTAAAACCTGTTTTTTCGTTTTACCTACCATTTTAAACTGTTATTTGATAATTCTCAATCCGGTCATTCTAAGGGACTAGTCAAGCATTCTCTTCTTCACTTGATGTAAATAGCTGTTCATTTGCGGTCCCAGTGACTAAACTGACCAAGATCCGCCTCAATGTAAGTAACGGTCCACATTGAGACGTGTTGCAATTCATTTGCATAACGAGTGCTTCAAAACGAACTTTCAAATCATCTTGTTGTGCTGTTCTGCGTGATACTTTCCATAGCTTAGTCCAATGTGTGGTTAACCTTTCGCCTTTTGCTTTGTTGCATGCACAGTCCACATTTTACACTTCGCATCATGACAAGCCTACAGGACTTGTTAACCATATGCCATTTTACCCATCATAAACCGTTGTTCCAGAGACGTGAAACCTCTCAAAGAACGGTCTGTATGGATGACTGCTGATATTTAGAGAGCTGTGTAGTGGGAATCTAGTAGTCCCAGTTGCGCCTCGTCCGGGCCAGTTGGCGCATATTTTAAGCTTCCCATCCTGTCCATACAATGGCCATTGGTTGGCTGGTGCATCGGTGGCGCTTACTTGCCTTTCATTCCTGTGGATTCGAATCGTTGTTCGCATGCGCTACCATCCACCAGCACATTGTTGCATACATACATGGTGTGCAATACAAGCGCCTCGTCTAATCGCACTCATAGTGGATAAGTGCTGAACAACTTTTGCAGCAGGCTCCAAATCATTCCACAGACTGTGCATGCCAGTGTGTCTATCGTCGAATGGACGATGGTAAAGAGAACTAAGAATAGTCTAAATCACTCATATGGCTGGGCCCATCAACCCGTTTGTTCCAATCCATGTGCATAATTCCCATTTCGATTTCGTCCGTCAGTACCAGGATCACGAATCCGTCGTATTGAATGATCGGATCGCAAAAGAAAAGGCCAGGCAAGCGATGGAGAAAAAGGAGATGGAGGATCAGGCATCGCTTAAAGTAAGTGATGGATTAAACGTGCGAGTAGGTTGACAGTAGTTCATCGGATGCTTTGTTGACGAGGGAGAGCTGGGTTATAGCAAAATTCACGAACTGCGCTTTTGTCCCAAAAAGCCCAAATGGAAAGGTGTAGTGGGAAAGGAAGCATTCGAGCAGAGGATCTCATAGATCAACCAAAAATGGTGCAGACCTACTATCCAACTATACACGTGCCATTGATGTGTTATACATCAATGTAACAATAATAATCACCTGAAAATCGCAAAGGACTTGTGTTCATTTCGATTTAACTATCGCGATTCTAGCTGCTTATTGATCCAATGGCTCCGAAAAGCAGATCCAGGTTCATACTCGGCGAGACTAAACGATAAGCCGTAAACCCGGAGCTTAGGGTTGGATGAGGCAGTAAACGTACGAACTGCGATAATGTATGTCACATGAAGGGGTAATAATTTACTCGCTGGAGGTGGAACGTGATAGTGGTGTTTACTTAGATCAATTTGAAGTGCACATCGCGGATGACAAATGGTTGTTTGTAACGCACAGACTCAAGCTGCCATGGATTTAAGGAATGAACTTCTATCAATCACAATGCACCTCAAACAAGGTTACACCACTAAAACAGAAACTGTATGGCCGGGAATTTTCGCACAATTTAACTAAGGAGAACCAGATATCGATCATCGTCCGGAATGATATGTTTGTGTCAGTTTCAGTGGAATTTATCGGTCACAACATTGACCGATACGGTACATCACCTAAAACGGACAGGTTGTATGCTATTCGGCGATCTGCAGTACCGACTTCTTTTAAGTAACTTAAACGCTTTTTGAGAATGATCAACTTCCACCGCCCGTTCTTCTCTAAAGCGAAGCAAAAATCATAAACTCTTATAAGTCTTCCAATTAGAAGTCCTAGTACCAAGAAATTTCAGCCAACAGATAATGCCAAACAAAGCTTCAACAAATCACTTCTCCATTATGGACAACTGCATTTCGTTTTATTTATAATATGGCGCTTCCCCATCTTTAAAGTACACATGAACAATGCTGCAGTCTTACATTGAACAATCATTCAAGTCTCTTAACCACAAGGTTTCCCGTATATAATTTCACCTGCCGAATGATGACAGATGGCGAGAAATTTACCAAAATTGATCTCAGTCATGCGTACTCGCAGATAGAACTCAACGAGGCTTCAGGGAAGGTTACTGCTACTGGGCTGGCACAGCCCTGTCCAACTTATCCGGAGTTCACCGGTGTCGGTACCCTATCGGGTACGAACAACACGGTCTCTATGCGGAGACCCAAAGTTCTCAGTTCAGAGCGGGGCTCTCCCTACAGAAAGTACCACGAAAGGCTCACTCCTCTGCACAGATCGAAACGGAGTTATCCTCAGTAAGAACGAGACCAGTATATTCTGCACAGTTTCTACTTAACTTGCTCCAGTTTCATCATCGTATTTCCCGGACTCTCCCTAAATCAGTAGTCTGCCTGTAGTGCTTTGTTCATGCTAATGCCTCAACTACCGAGCACACTAAACATCTGTGATTTGTCCAAGTCTCAACAGCATTCACCCCGCTGCATATCCGCGAGGAGATAGGATCATTCTACGGCAAATCATGTACTAACAAACATACGTGTTTCCTTATAGCTTTTTGCATTTACTACGACTTTTATTGAGCTAAAACGGTTAGGGGGTAGCTAGTACGGGGACCTTAGCTAAGTCAGTTAAAGCACTCTTCCTAATGGATAGTCATCTTCCTGCGGGTCTCGGTACATTTGTGCGGTGCTTACACATTCTGTCTGCATTATCAGTTACGAGTTCAAGTCTACCGGCTAATTCCACTAGCCGTTCTAATACGAATCGTCTAGGCTGCTCTGTGCGTGGGAACCGACGAGTGAAAGAGTTGGTCCGTTCCGACCAGTCGAAACCCAACCAGGACGTTTACGAAAGTTACTACGTTCACCCAGAAGGCCCAAAAGGCGTGCTTCGCCTTGTCGAGGTGAATATTTATTTACATATGGGATTGCACCAATATACCTTTAGGCAATAATTCTGCTCCTGGAATCTTTCTAAGTATTATTTACGACTTAGTAAAAGACATATCATTTGACTGTGCCTATCTGTATGAGATTCTTATCTCTGGGTCCTCTGATACGGAGCATCTTCTTGCACTTGCTGTCCTGCTCGAGCGGCTTTAGATTGGAAAAACCCAAATGTGAGTTTTTTCGCCTTCCGTTTGCTACGTGGATACCGACTTGATAAACACGGATTACATGTTTTAAATGACAAGATGAAATTGATCTTAGAAAGTCCAGATCCGAAGCATAGTGATGAACTCGGTTCGTTTTTATACATGCTGTATCACTATCGCTGTCCTTGCTTAATACATCTACGGTATTAGTTCCACTAGAATAGCTGTTGCGCTTTGGAGTCCTAAGCAGTGTGATGCCTGCAAGTGGGCTACCAACGTTCGTATATTCGAGTCCAAATAGCTACTCATCCTTTGGTGTGACACGTCCCCTTGGGGCTCGCAGCTGTCCTGAGTTACCGCATAAACCATGTTTCTTTACGTCCTATGGCATTCGCATGACGCACTTACAAACAGCAAGGAACAACTAGTCACAATTGGACAAGGAAGCGTTGGATGTAATCTTCGGAGAAAAGAATCATCAGAAGCAACTTTTGTGAACTTCCTTCGAGGTGCACAGCTCACAAACCTTCACTAACGTTATTGGCGGAAACCAAGTTCGTTCAACAGGTGGCATCACCTAGGATGCAAGGATGGGCTGTAATCTTGGGTGCGAGCAGTTACAAAATTGTTTACATTACGAGCATCAGCATCCGCACAGCCGACGCGCTTACCCGTCTAACAATAACTGGATCTACACCTGAACACAATCTTTCGTTCGAACTAGTTAGTTTAATGCAATATATAGACGCGACCCAGATACGAAGTGCAACAGTCCGTCAATGGACGGAACAATACCCAGTACTGTCCATGGTGAAACGCTTTCTGACGATAGGTTAGCCCTCGGAAGTAACAGCTGATTTACAGCTGTTCGTATTCCGCATATATATACATATATATCTATGGAACAAGGCAAGCATTACAATTGGCAACGTGCCACAACGTGTGGAAAAATATAATACAACAATACTAAGGAAATAGAGAGATTAAAATAGTGTAAAACTGGAGTCATGGGAGCAGAGTCTCACAACATGTTCGCCATTGCTCACGGTTTCTTGACATGTCCGAAAGGGTTTCCGGTCAAGTGTGCTTATGGTTCTTGCACCCCCAATGGGGGGTCGTGAGCGTCCGACCGCGGCCAGATGTGAGGCCCAAGTCGTTCGCTGGCCACCTTGTCTTATCTCCCAGTCGACTACTGTGCGCGCAGAATGCACGGTAAAGCAAACGCTCAGTAGGCATGAGAAGCACTTGCCCAAGTCACCGAATTCTATGTACTGAAAGTATACGGCTCAGGGGCCTGCAAAGTCTGTCCAATTTGAAAAGCTTTTGGCGAACATCCTCATTACCAATGTGATGTTGCCGCCGTACACCAGCAATATCCGAAGTCAGTGATGATCAAAGACAGACTGCCTCTGAAGGTCCTTTACGCGAACAGAGCAAGTCTCGCAACTGTGGAGCAGGACCGCTCTCACCAGGACACTGTAGACTCGACCCTACAAGGAGACTCAGGTTGCAGCCACGCCAGAGATGGCGGAGATTAACAAACCAACCCGGGCCTTAGAGACGCTTAAAGAGACCTCATCCGTTAAATCGTTAGCGCTGATGCAACTTCCGAGGTAAACGAACTTTTCCACCACTTCCAGAGAATGACCTGAAAGGTTAAGGGTGTGAGCAGATTCTAGGGAGCTCTGTAAGAAGACCTTACACTTCGAAGGGGCGAAAGTCATTCCAAACTGCGAGGCAGACACCGCCAACCTGCAAGGCACATTTTGGGCGGCTTTTGGAGAAACGCAAATTACGGCAATGTCGTCCGCATACTCCAAATCGCGAATTCAGTCCCCCGAAAGTAGTTCAACGCCTCTGGGTCCGCAGTGCTCCAGAACCACTCTAGGATGTCTCCAATAGCGAAAGTAAACAGAAAGGGTGATGCAGGGCAGCCCGGTCTCACGCCACTGGTGATACTAAAGGGCGGTGAAAGTTCGCCATACACTCGCACTCGGCCAGGGGTTTCTAGAGTAGATGGCTCAAAGAATGTTGACGTACTTCTCAGGCACTCCCCTTCTCAATGAATGACTCCAGATAGCAGCTCGATCAACTGAGTCAAACGCGGCTCCGATGTCTAAGGCTAGAACGATCGTTGGCCTGCCGAACATTTGACTACGCTCGAGTATTTGGCGGAGTGTAATCTGATCGATAAAACTCAGGCCAAAGCGAAATCTAGTTTGCTCTACGCGTAGGTTTTATTCACATACCTGGCTGTGCCTCTTTAAAAGCAGGGCCCCGAGCACTGCAGGTGTAACGCAGATGAGACTAAACTCTCTGTGGTTAGCGCAGTCTGTCAGGCACCCCTTTTGAAGACAAGCATGATTTCCGCTAGACTCCAATCGAGTGCGATTGCTTCCGTGGTACAAACCTTTTGGAGCAGGGAAGTTAGCTCCCGAACAAATAATTAATCTCCATGTTTGAAAAGGGCCGAAGGGAGTTCGTTCTGGCCAGGGACTTTGTAGAAAAAATCAACAGAGTGTATTGGACGGCTGTGATTTTGTGGGATTTCGGTTAGTCCCTGCCGTTAGCGCGCGTTCGCAGATTCTCAACGATCTACATGATGCTCATCCAGGTGTGGCAAGAATGAAAGCCTTAGCAAGTGGGTACTGCTGGTAGTCCAAAATCAATTCAGACAGAAAAAAGCTACTGAGGAATTACAGCATTTGTCAGGCTCATCAGCGTAAAACCCGGCCAAGTGCACCCTTGACGATGGTCCGACAAGTCACGGCAGCTGACTACTTCGGACCGATTAACGGGATAA